TACCTGTTTATTTTTTCCAAGGCATTAGTATCGCCTTTATTAGACCAAATCTTACACATTTTAAAGTTAGCAAAAGTATTAATTACTTAGACTACTTAAACATAAAGGTATGTTAACTACCACAACATTTTTTTCTCTTGTCTAAGCTAGTCGTTAAGAGACAAGCTAGTAGTCATAAGTTAAGATTATGACCAAGAAAGACAACACTCCTTCTAAGAAGCGTAGAGCTGAAAAGAAGAAGAAGGAGAGAGAAGTCGCTAGCGCTGCCGCAGCTATTACTGCTGCAAAAGCAACCGACGCGGCTGCTGATGCATTTAAGCACACTGTCGCCAAATTAAATGCCTCTGACAATTATAGTCAAAAGGACAATGCTTCATATAAGGAAGTAGCAGCTCCGCTTAAGGAGACTACTCCTTCTGACAGAGCCCGAGGGCCAACTATTGCCTCAACTTCAAAGCTTACATTAACGAATCCAAGAAGTTAGACAAGGGATACGTCTCTTCTGACGAAATTCAGAAAGGAAAGTCCCCAATTATGAGGGCGTCCCTAATTATAGGGGACAAGGACTCAGAAGGAACCTATTATGGAACTAGAAGAGGAGGCAAGCTCAAGTAGCAAAACCGAATCTACATCCGAGACTTCTAAGCCGAAGCACATAAGTAAGTTAATTACTAAATACGCTGATCTTAAGAATCAGTTAGCTACTATTATGAAAGACTTGACTGTCGAACATGTAGATCAACTAGATAGATCTGGAAAACATACACAGCGCTTACGCAAGCATGTTTGATATGTTTGCTGAACAACTATCAAATTACAGGACTTTAAATCATCCTTTGGGCAACGCCTTTCAAATAGACCTCTCCAAACAGTTTATTTGCCTAGCTATTAAATTATGTTCATATACATAAAGCTACCATCATGTTGTGTTGCCCATTACGGAGTAAAGATCCATGGCTCAATAAATTGATCAGCATGATTCAATGCGAGCCAATATATTTAGATAGGAAAGTAGATGCTTTTCTATATCAGGGTACCCGAGCCGTCCAGAAGATGCCCTGGAGACATACTATTATATGTCGTATATGTCCCATTGGAACAACCAAATAGACCCCTTCTGAGACCTTCATTAACAAGGTCAAAGAATCAGATATTTTACTCTCTACCCAATTGAACGTTACGCAGTTCAAAGGCAACACAGCATTTAACGTCTGTGCACAAGAAATACAATCTACTAATGACATTGTTGGGAAGCGTTAGTCTCTAGCTAGGACTCTGTTTAATAACATAAAGTCCAAGCCCGAGGTCTTTCAACCCTTATTTTTAAAGGGATCAATGAAAGACAATCCTGAAGCGTATACACATATAATGCGACTATTTAATAAGTCAGGTGTATTTAACGCACATGAGCGCGATTATGACGCTCATGCAAAAACAGGACAGGAGTTTGAAAACACTACAGACTTAGAGACCACGCAAGTGGATTCCTTAAAGATGCTAAACGACATGGGATCGCGCACCCTAAGCTGGTAACTTTAATTGACAGAGTATATCAGTCATACGCAGACCCTGATCTCAATCAGACCAAGCACTGTGGTATCGCACCGTTTAAGAGTGTGACTGAAGATGTTCCATGGCGCAGGGTCATCATTGATCTGGTTGACCTGCCCACGTCCGAGCACACAGGCGACCGTTACGTATGCCACTTTTTTGATGTGGCGTCACGGTTTAACTTGCTCTATCCATTAAAGGATAAGAATACGCAGACCGTGGCAGAATTATGTTGCCAAGTCTTTTAGGGTTTGCAGATGACGATATATGTTGAATGGACTTGTAGGCTCGAAATTGAGTAGATACACGATTTGATTGGCGGCAGGATTCTCGAGGAAATCCTTCGGAGATAGTATAAATACGTGGTTTAGTTCATTCACGAAGTTCATTCTGCTAAGGTAGACGTTTATTCAACAATCGAGGAAATAAAACTAAGTTCACAGTTACATTGTGTTTTGAGTCGCTCTAAGATTACGTACTTCAATTATTTTTCTTCTTCTTTTCGTTATTCGAAAATTGTTCTTTTTTTTATGTAGAAAAAGACGTTTCTTTTATTATGGGAGTCGAGAGTCAGGAGTCGGGAACTCGGGACGGGTCTTTTATCCACGAGTTATCCAGAAAATACAACTCCAAATATGAAATATAGTGTTTCGTCTGTGACAAACCGATTTTTAATATTTATAATAAAAAAACAAATACACTCTCAACTTCTTAAGCCTCAGCCTTCAACTCTATATTTACAAAGAGACCCCAGGGCCCAGGCTCAGGGCCTCTTCAGCTGATCTGGTAAACGACACGTGTCGCAATGAATGCGACGTGTCGTTTTAAAGAACAACACTGATATTGATGCGACGTGTCGTTGTCGCATTGGTCGCAATGGTCATATTTGATCATTTCGATAGACCCTATTTTCGTTGTTTTTTTTAGTGACCAATCATATGTTCCTAATCTTAACATTTAACATCGATTCAATGATATACCCGTATATTAAAGACAGCTAATCATATCACATTTGCGTTTTCGACTGCCTTTATTTGTGGGGCTGGCTAGTAACGAGTTTCAGTTGCTACTTGGCCTTGCTGACATCCTGACAATATGGATTTAGAAACTAGTAACTACTAACTTGGTATTTTTAGTATATTATTAAACTGTATATGTGTGTAGCTATGCAGTGTGATTATTCTATAGTTATTAAGTGTATAGCACGGTATATCATAGTATCACTACGTCATGTGTTACTTCACCTTTAACATCAGATACAATGACAAAACAGTCGTGCCCTTCTGCCAGTCACTTCAATGACAAACCTGGATGGGGCATAGTAACCAAAAAACAAAAGTACCAACCATCACACCACAAAATTGACATCTCTACTGTCTCCAAACACTTAAAAAGTACTAACCGTCACACCATAGCTGTCAACCGACATGCCGCTTCATCTGCGACACATGTCGTTTATGAATGCGACATGTCGCTTACATAAACGACCAGTATCGATGCGACATGTCGTTTTGGTAAACGACCCCAATTTCATTGCGACATGTCGTTGTCGCATACCAGATCAGTCTTCAGGCTTCAGACTTCAGGAAGTTCAGGGCTGTATATACTAAATACCATACTATCCATATACATACTGTATTTACTCTAGAGTTGAGAGTCAGTTACATATTTGAAAAAGTAAGGCGAACGTAAATTATCATTCGCCAGTGACTTCTTGGCGAAGACTCTATTTACTAGTATGTATAAAGAGAAATCTTGAAATCACCACCGAAAAAGGAAATGTTTTTCTTCTAATTATTTAAATTAAAAAACCAAAACCAATCGACGTACAGTACAGAAATCAGCATGCAATCATACGTCGAGTTTTTGTTTGTTTTTGTAGAGGAGCAGCATACAGGGCCACTGAGAAATGGCCAAAGGGGGTGACGGGATAGAAATTGAACGGAAACGCATACTTATTCAGATTTAAAACGTTATAACAGTTGTAAGTAAATCAGAAGAGCCCACATAAAATCTTTTTATAGGACTGGTTCGTATGGTAAAATCTGTACACATTTAAATGGTTAGACCCGCAACTCCGCAAGGTGCACCTATGAGCATACAAAGGACCGTATATTGAATAAAAGCTTAACGTAAACGTATATTTATTTCGATTTGTAAAAGTTTTAACGGAAAACGATTTCAGGTTAGCTCTGGGCCCTAGGAGCATTGTTTTTTATGCTCACAATTTTTGTTTTTTAATCACAAGTTTCACATCAATATCTCATATGTACAAACAAACTAAATTTTCAATAAAAGCAAAGAATGGTTAATAGAACAATCTAAGTAAAATGCAAGGTTTAAATTGCTAAACCACGGTTTTGTCTTTTTTTTTATGAAAAACCTCCTTCTTGTTTGCTGTGGGAAGTGGGGAAGTGCGCCCGTGGGGCGTGGCCACTGTGTGGTGGCGTATGCCGTTACCTTGTAGGCCATGCCGCCGTAGCCATGGTCCCATGGCCGAGTATTTAGTGGTTCTGACTACTGAGTATTTACTTACTACTGAGCTGCTGACCACTTAGTACTGAGTACTGACTCCCTGAGACTCGAAGAGACAACATTATTTTTATAAAAACAATCAAATATAAAAATACAGGCTATGCCTGTCCAAGACTCCAAGACTCCAAGCATCCGCCCACGAGGCAAAGAATCGTTAAATCATGACTAGAATCGTCAAATCCCAACTGAAATCCCAAAAATAATGTTGTCTCATCAAGTCTCAGTGAGTTAGATTTATATATATATAAATAGTGTTTTTTGTAATTTTTATTTTTTATTATTATTTTTGCAGTATGTACATAACCAATAACGTTTTTGATTTGTTTTAAATAAAAATCAAAAATAAAGTCGAATAACAAAAGAAACCTGAAAACTGACCTATTCTTCTATTTTTAACCAAAGTATTGACCCAGATTCTGCCAGATTCTGTATTTTTATCAATTTTTTACGTATTTTCGGTGCTTGAGAATTAATATTTTTATAAATTTGGTTTTGTTTCCTATTTTTCAAAAAGCAAAACAAAAAAGAATAAAAAGCAGTGAGCTCATGGGTTGTTTTTTTATTCTATTGTTTTTACAAAACAAAAGTTAATACTGCAAAATCGGTGTGAAAGTCCATAACCTTCCAAAGTATCCAAATTGAACACAAAATCATTCATACTTCATGGCTATTTACATTTACACAATGTGTACACTGCCCATGGTTCTAAAAAATAAACACACTTGAGACGTGAGGCCATACATCTTCAGGGCTAGTAGATGGCCTATTATATGTAAAATTGCATTTCCCACATATTTTTTCCTGATGTTAACGTGTATATGGAGCGAATATTTTGTAGTGTTGCAAGTGGCCAGTGCTTCTACCCCGCTTACTAAGTCTAAACTACACCTTAAAAATTTGAACCCCCGAAATATCGACGTAATTTTTATTGAAATATCGAGCGTACTGATTCAAGGCGGTATTTTTCTTCCAGTCTATGACACACCTCAGGCTTTGACAGTATCGCGGCGCCAGAAGAGCAACTTCAGTCAATCAAGAACAAAAAGCTGGTCTTCAGGCTCCAGTTTATACATAGATTTTGAACCTCCAATAGATTACTATTGAAAATCGATTAATTTAATTATACTAGTTAAGTGAGAAAGAGATGTGATGAAACTAGATGTGATCATATAAGCTCTACTGATTGTCAAAAATCTCTTGTTTCGTCAGCCGTTTGTTGCGCTCGTCGTTGAGAACATGTTCCGCGTATACCTATTGTTAAGCGCAACTATTTTGGTATACTCGATTAGATCTTATACTTCGGTCTGGCGCATCGATATGATATAGTTGTACAGCGGGGCATGAAAAACGAATTCTCCAGGACTAAGTCCACGTGCAGACATCCTTGTAGTGAAAACCACGAAAAGAAAATTGGACCAATTACATTCTGCGTAGAAGCCATCGTCGAATCTCTGACGGCAAAGGACTTGTATATCCGATCTAAATGGTGTTGAATTATCGTAGAACCAATTCACCTGTAAATTGGTCTTTGTAGTATATTTCTCACAAGATTTTCATTTGGTACCTTGAATTCTTTCCTTAGTCGTGTTGACTTCTGGTCCAATTCCAGTAGCATGTCGTTCGTCACAACATCCAATAAGAGATCTGGATGCCCTGGATGTTGATCAACCTCAATAACGCGTGGAAAGGATACCGTTTTCCTGGTTTGCTGTTCGCTATTTATCATACTTGGTGACTGCTTGTCGGGTGTATTGCACTGCCCTTCCTCTTTCCGTTCACCTATCGTCTCTAAGACGGTTATTCTCTTTCCTCCACGGAATAATAACGTACTCGCGGATCTGGTGATCATGTTTAACATAACAACGATACTATAGTATGCTTAATACTTGCAATCGTGTCAATCTCGGTAGTAATTTTACTGGTGTATTGTAAATTGTGGAGAAGAACTTGAAATGCGAGCGCCATTTATATAGCTTAAAAATAAATACATAATAAATTTTACATATTATATATTTCGTATGTAGCGGAACCATTTTCACGCATATTCTATTTTATTGAATTTTATTCTGTTTGCGAGAGTCATTGTTCCCTGGGAATTGGACAATTGGCGTGGAGCATAATTATACTTTTTTTGAATACAAAACAGAAAAAGCAATTTCCTATAACTGTATTCAGTGAATTAGTAGTGACTACTCACTGATTAGCAATTATTATGAATCACGCAAGAGACTTGAGAGTTGACAGTTGTCAGTTGACAGTTGACACTAATCCTATCCGTCGGTCGTCACTCAAGAAACAACAGCGAATCAAAAAAAAGCGTATGAAGTAAAGCCGCCATTTATAGATTGTAGTTATTGTATATTCTTTTTTTTGTTTTGATTTGCTTTTTTTTCATTGATTTGCTTTTTTTGTAATTATTCTTTTTTTGTTTTGATTTAAAAAAATTAAAAAAGTGAATAATAGAGAATTGAGAGAGCGAAAGAGGATTGATAAAAAAAAGCGCTTTATCTCTGCTCTCATATGGGTATCAAAACTCTCGAGTCTCAAGTCTCAACTCTCAACTCTCAACTCTCACCTTTGCGTATACTGTTTGGGCCATGGCGTAGCCGCGTATGGCTGTACAAATGCGGTATGTGCAACTACAAGTTCGGGCTACACCGAGCACTCAAGGACTCCGAAGGAGTGAGGAGTACATAAGAGGTAATGAGCCAAGGGCCTCTCAGGAGATAGGCCTCAGGGCCTCAGCCCTCTTCCTACTTAGCGAAACGGCTCACAGCATGAGGAACTGAGGGAGGTTCTCTCCCTCACCCACTTGTCACTCTCCCTCTACTTCAGGCGGACAGTCGCGTACTCGCGCTCTCATCTTCCCCTAAGTTCTCCAAGTTCTGAAATTCAGAAAAATTCTCGCTATGTACTACTCGTCCGTTCTCCCTTAAATTTTACATTTCAAGATGGCCGTGATTATGTACTTCGCTTCTACATAGTAGTTAACTGTCTCGCTACTCTCTAGTAGAGTAGAGAGGAGAGAAGTCTCTTCGCTCTCTTCTCTATTTATTTGTATTGAATTTATATATAAAAATAGAGAGTAGAGACTAGAGACTCTACTACTAGTAGTAGTAGTAGTAGAGAGAGAGTCTCTCTCTCTTGTAATTCTTGTTGTAAATTAAATATGTGGGAATCGTTGTGTGCTGTACATATTGTTCTGTGTTCAGTGTTCACACTTCACAGTGAAGTTCACACTCACAGACTAACAGTGTTGTTGAGAGATTTGAGATATATATATTTATTTTTTTGGTTGAGATTTTTTAAAAAAGACTTCAGCTTTTTTTACATAAATATTGCTGACTGATGAGAGCGACTGCTCCCCTCTTTGCTTTTTTTTTAAATCATATGTTGCATACAAACCGCCGAAATCCAAATGGCACCAAAGTCCAAAGTGAGCTTGTTATGTTGGCCCTTGGGTTTCGCCTTGTTGTTGTTTGAGTTGTGACTTGTGACTTGTGACTTGTGACTTGTGACTTGTGACTTGTGACTCTTGTGAGTTTGTGAAGAATGTAAGTTGTGACTTGTTCCTTGTTGTGCGTTCACTGTCTCTTGTTGTTGTGTGTGTACTCAGTACTGTGTAGTGTGTAGTGTGTACTCACTGTACTATGTAGTGTGTACAATTGTGCATATTGGGGGGTTTTTTTTAAACTAATATATGTACACACGACATTTTCAATTTTGTGACTTGTTGTGACTTATGTGTGTACTCGCTTGTGAGTTGTGAGTTGTCAGTTGTGACTTGTGTTCCAATCTCTCGCCAGGTACTCTCGAGTCTCGGGCCTCGGCCTTCACCGCGGCCTCAACTTTGGCTCCTTCTCTTCTTCTCTTCTATTGTGTTTATTAATTATATCAGGTAAGTATTCTACTTTTCAGTGATAAAATCAGTCTTCACTCTTCAGTCTTTAACTCTTCACTCTTCACACTTAAGTCTTAACTCTTCATTCTTTAGGCATGTAAACTTTGATGGAAATTACTAGGTTTCAAACTATATTAAACTAAGATACAATTTAGTCAGTTAGGATTTAGCAGTGGTAGCTTGGGTAAGAATGATCGGGACTGCCTCTTGTTAAGAGCCTAAATATCCTCGATCACACAGGGCGTACCTCTAGCTGTTCTTTATTGATTAATTTCCACTAGAAGTACTAAGTGTTCATGACCACATGCCTAATTTGTAGATAGACATAATAACGTAAGTCACGTTAATACATTAGCTGATATAAATAAGGTTCCATCTGAAGAAAAGTTAAAAAAAGAAAAAATACTTATTGGATTTTGGAGATTGGCGGGAGGACCAAAATCTAAAAGTAGTAGTTCGAAGATTATAAAATTTAGTTTATAATATCCTACATCT